TGGTTCATCTACATGCTATGCCTTCAAAATATTGTTCTTGCCTCTAGAGTGCTTTTCTGCAAAGTGATCTCAGAAAAACAAAAAGTGGGAGAGGCCTGCCTGGAAGTATTTTACTCCTTCCATGGCCTAAGAAATTGATGCAAAAGCATAATCTTTTGTTATAAACCAGCCCATATATGAAAGTGAGCTTCTTTGGCACATGAAATGCCAGCGTTGCATTTCATTACAGCAGTCCAGTCATTGTATGAGCTGCACCTTAAACTGGGCATCTGTCTCACTGTAGTGGCCAGCGGAGAATGCTTAGTGGAAAGAACAAGAAATAAACAAATATGAATTAGTTTTCCCCAGTATGTACACACATCATCTAAAAGTAATTCCAGGAGAATTTTGTGAACTCAGCCTGAGTTTGTCTGTGACGTGAAAGAGCAGATTTTGCAGCCAAAGAATCAGGTACTGGAGAAAGGTGAGCAGTAATTCAGAGAAGCAGAGCAGAAGAAAAAATGACATAAAAGCATAAAATTGCTTCTCCGGTTTAAGAGGTTGTAGGAGAAGCTAAACAGCTGAACAGAATCCTGCTAAACAGGAGAAGTTTTGAGTGAGGAGTTGACTGAAATATCATTGTTGTCCTTCCTGTTGGTGAGGCCAAAATCTAAGAAATGTACATTATGTGGGCTGCATATTCCGAGACTTAAAAATGTAAGAAAGACAGGCTTATTAAATCTGGGTCAATACCAAAAATGTTCAGGAAGGGTTTTCTGGAGATATTAAAATAGGAGTAATAGGCAGGCATCTAATACCTTCTAATCTTTGCAAGGATTCCTCTACAGGTGATTAATGGTCAGGGAATATTATATTACTATATCACTTACTATACGATTTTGTTGTTTTTCTGCAAATCCTGAAGCAGTTCCAGGTTTTTTCTGAATATGTTTACCAGATGACAATCCTAAAATTCCTCCTGAAAACAACTGCACAAGCAAATCCAGCGCTGAACGGAATCTAAAAAGGGCAGCTGTTTTGCTCCAGAGTGTCAGGAGCAATGAGATGGTTGGGGTGTATGTGATGGTGTGCAGAAATAAAAATCAATTACTTCTGCCAAGGTAAGTGGGAAAGGACAAACTGATAGAACTTGGAAGATTAGACCTTTTTCTTAGAAGATGCTTTTCAACAAAAATGAGTCAGATCTTTTCCCTAATAGCTACAAGAATGCAGTGGATGGTAATGTAAATTAAAAAAAGAACCAGGAGGAAGGAAGGCAGCTGTGTAAGCAGAGAACATGGCAAACATGCAGCAGAGCCGTCTGTTTCTCACATCTAGAAATGAAAGTTAGCAGAGTTGGAAAGACCTTACAGAATTAGTATTGAAAGACCATAGTATTTATATTAGGCCATCACTCTGTTTTATATTGATTTGAACTCAACTCGTGTTTGATTTTTAAAAGCAAGAAAGTGTACTCTTATGTCACATGAACACAGAGATGTACACCAACAAAGTAATTGATATTTTACCAATATTAGACATAAACATGAATCAAAATAGTCTGGCAATGTTATGTTTTACTGAAAAATGACAAGCAGTATGGCTAATACTAATACAGTGCTTAAGCTAAATAATATACGTACATCCCCAGCTACAGCAGGAGTTAGGCTGAAGGAGATTGCTGAGGTGAATGTCACTGGACTATCTACTAACCAGCTGCAAATGCCATTCCTGTTACACTAGACTGGTGAGACTCTAAAATAAAATAAGTGCTTCCTGTGGAAAGTTCTTGGTACATTCTTTTTTCATAGTTTTCTGACATATGTGAAATATACACTTCTGGCTCATGGCTTGGTGTTTGCTATATGGTTCAGGATGCCAGAAGGATTGAATACGTCAGGACCTGCTGCATTTTACCTTTGTGCAATGTCTGGGATGGCTGACCAATATTCTGGAATCTTTGAAGGCTACACTGGGGCTCGTAACTGCATTAGAAAGTAAGGCCATACCAGGAATCCAAACATAAGACAATACAACTGCTAGTACCACTATAATACAGCAATCTGATCAAAACATGCTATGTTCATGAGAGGCCTCATTTTGAAAGTGTTCATTGCCTCTTTATAAGGGTTGCATGCATAGCTGTAAAGTTGCTAACATCATCACGTACAGAAAAGCTTTCATAACAGTTCATCTGCTAGTCTGATGGAAGCAGTTTAATGGAGACCAGTAGCAAGCAGAGCTTCATTCTCCAACTATGATCAGCCACCTGTCTTTGTCACCATCCTGGGGGAAAACTCAAAATGCCCATGAATTTTTTCATTAGCTTTTTTTAATGGGAGAAAATAAAGCACAAATATTATCTTTGTTCAGACTTACAGTTGTAATACAAGGCATCTGATTTTGGCCTTATTGCAAAGAGGGTAAAAAAAAGAGGAGCAGAAGGTATTTGACTTTTACACCTTCCCTGTTACATAACGACCATACCAGATAAATTATAAATATAAATTTTTGTAAGTAGTTGTTATTCTGGGGTCATATAACTATGTAATGTGAAAAACTTCCCTTGAAATTTGAAAACTCTATGCCACATTCTCCATGTGTCGTTGTTGAGACATTTCTGTGCATTTCTCTTTAAGGGAACAGGCTTCCTAGAAGGTTTTAACTTGTGTTTGGTAAAGTGCAGTGTTATTGAGTGTAATACAGACAATATGTAAAATAGCCAGTTCTTGCAACATGGAGCTTTGGCAACTGCAGGTCTCTTGCTTTCACATTCTGACCTGTCTTGTATTGGTGTTTAGTTAATGGATCAGCAGCCAGACACTGCAGTGTACCATCATTGGGTATAGAGCCAGATTTGAAAAATGAAATTTGCGGTGGTGTTCAGTGATGAAGTTTCCACCTATATAATATAGTGCTCTGTGAACCTCTATTTCATGCTCTTATTTTAATGCAATTAAAATCTGAGATCACTGTCTAACTGTGTCTATTAAGAAAGAATACTGCTTTTACTGGGACTAAAAAGGGGAGAACTTTTCTGAAAACCAGAATAGGGCTTATATGTCTTTTAAGTATCTATAAATTCATGTCAAAGTGTAATAGTTCTAGCTCTGGCTGCTGAGCAGTTTTAACAATTTGACCTTGTGTAGTTCTGGAAATAAATTAATATTTCTACTTCATCAGTGTTAACTTTCTTGTGAGCTTTTGCAACAGCTGGTAACACATTTAATGCTGACACTACTAAAAATGCATGGGATCAAGTAAAGCTTTCTGAACTCTAAGCACTTTACTTCTCTATATTATATATTCTCTATGGAAATTAACTTTTTTCTCAACCATGAATGTCAGTTCTATTCCACTGTAGCACTACACAGTCTTTTGAAAGGATGCTGCCTTAGGGTAGAGAGATCCAGAGCACAGAGTTGCTAAAGATATTAGCCTCAAGCTTTAGCTTACCAGTTCTGCAAAAAAATTAGTTAGACATTGTGTTCTACATCTCTAGTGCTTACTAGCTATAAGCTGGAATTCTGTATATTTTCCTGTGTATTCTTCTTCCTGTCACTAAACAAGTCCACAATTTTTTTCCTTAAGGTATATATTGGAAATGACAGAGGTAAGACAGCTCCTTGGGTTAAAATACCTCTCTAAGTTTTTAAATAAATATATCAACTAAATTTATAAAACCATGTATATAACCTTTTACTAGAATTACTGATATTTATTACCTTCCAACAATTTTATATAATCTATATAAATATATATTAAATAATTTTTTATATATATACATCTTATATATGCACCTTAAAACAAAAAAAAGCTTTAAACACACGGCAGATTTACTTGTGTAACATAAACTCCATATATTAGATACTATATAGATATTAGATATAATAAAAACATATATCTAATATAACATTTATAAACAATCTATAGAAACATCTAATCTAAAAAACATTTCGAAAAAAGCTGTGTCTTATTATTTATCACCATCTGTGGAGTTTATGTTAGGCAAGTAAATCTGCCTTATGTTTAAAACTTTTTTTTTGTTTTAAGGTGTTTGTATTTGCATATCTGGTGACAAAGAGCCAGATTCTTTACTAATAGCAGTTAATAATTGCTTTATGAAATTAGTTTTCTTTTGTTGCTACTTTTCAATTTAACAAATGTTGTACAGTTTTAGCTGCCTCCTGCTGTGAGATATCAGGCCTTGTGTATAAATTTGTTGATCTGCATATCATCTTAAGAAATAATCTGGCAAATAAGCAATAACAAAAAGACTAAGTAAAAAATAACTATCAAATCTATATAGCTAATATATGCGCATCACAGTTCTTTGGTTTTTATTACTGCTCGTGTTCTGACAAGCTGGAAAAATTAACATCTTTAAGTCTGTTGTCTTCTGTATTCTTGGTAACATGGTTTTCGTCCATTTTCTCATATTGTTCCATCATATTAGAAACAGATGATATGTAAAGCTCTATATCTACAAGTTCTCTTGCTCTCTCACAAGACTGCCAGAGGAAAACTAGAGGGGATGTTGTTATACCCATTGACCGGTATGAAATAATGTGATCTCTAAGCGGTATTTTCTTGGTTACCTGGATTGTGTTTTATAAGGAATTAATTTATTTCAGGTACATAAACAGGTGAAGTGAGGTAAAAGCGTATTGTAAAACAGAGTTGCTTTTTGGAAATTAATTTTAAAACTGTGGGTAAGGAAAACAGTCTGTAACAGGATATGTAGTCAAATGGGTTTGTTCGTTTTGTGACAGATTCTTGTACATCACATTCCAAGGAATAGTTTATTTATATATTTTTTTAAAGGAAGGGAGACTAAATGAGAAAGATGAAAATAAAGGTGCCAGCGCTTTTTACTCTTGATTGATACTGAATAATATGTACGTACACTTGGTAGATCTATGAAGGATTTAAGATGCCCAGAGCATGGTGTATTAATCTGATCACAAGAAATGAAAAGCTTAAACCAAAAGCACATTCAGATTTATTGAGGCACTTCAAAAACCAGGTCTGTAACTAAGCGGTTTCAGCAACTGCTAATGAAAGCATGTGATTTCCTTTTTTTATGATTTTAGCTATAAGAAAGTTAAGCATGTACGGGAAATTAAGAGGGAGCATGAAGAGTTTAAAATTTCATGTTATCATGGTGAATAAGGTGGTGGTGACTGATCTGCAGCAATTTTGTCATAAGCTGGTGGAGCATCAGGTACCTGTGGTAAGGAAAATGGGTGTGAGAGATTGAAAAAACCAATTGAGGTACAAGAATATGACATTAAACATGCAGCAAGCTATTTACCACTGTACTAGATATGGTTCAGTGACTTAAAATAGCTAAGCTCATTCATTATGTCTATTTTTTTGCTAGTATGTTTTCTGGTTTTGCGTCAGATTCATTTTATTGGAACTGTTCATCCGAAGAAAGATTTTTCAGTGTTGTAAAGGCAGGATTTTTTTTTTTTAAGATATGGGTGGTTTTATATTGGTAACTCGGATAAATATTGAAGCTTTTCTGTAAGAGTCTTGATGCAGGCATGTCTTATTTCTAGTGTTAAAAATTTGAGCAGCTTATTTAAAACTGATTATAAATTAGACTTTTCCCTATTCTAAAGCCATTTAAACACACCCATTACTTAACATATACTTATCACTGAGTTTAACTTTTTGACAGTTATAAGTTTGAATGTTCATCTCTCCATAATGATTAGATGAGCTAAAACCTTGAATTTTTATAACATTCCCTGACAATGCTTTTCAGAGTATAGTAATACTAGACACAGTCCATTTGTTGTTTGTCAGAATGGCAGAACACCTACTGGAAAATGTTTGGGGTTTTTTCATTATATTTCAGCATTCGGGTGTTAGATCATTCTAATAGATTGCATAATGACCATACAACTTTAGAATAAATGTAAAAGAAAGAAATGAATTTTTAAAAGAAGAATTCTAAACAGTACATTTTAAAAATCCTTTTCACAGTAAAACTTGTTCAAAATAGTACTTTCTAAGTTGATGTAGAGGCATTGAAGACTCTATCTAGAGAGCACACCCCAAGGAAGAAATCATTAATTGCCCATTTACCAATATTGTCTCACCATGTCTTACTATGTTTAAGTAAATGAGACCTTGAGTTACAACTTACCACAGAATTAAAGTTTCTGTAGTCCTGCAGAGCCATTTTGCAGTCCAGTATTGCTCCCTCACCTACCACGGTTCGTGCTGTGCTCACACTAGAGCTTTTGCTCTGTGAGCATAACGAAACATGGGGAACATGAAAGGAAGAAGAGACTGTGAAGTTGGGGCAAATTATGCGTCATTTAATATTTGATAGCACATTTACAATATGTATTAGAATCTGGAATTAGGACCAGACACAATGCAAGTAAGCAAGTGAGACAATTTACTTATCAATTTACAATTTTGGCTGTCTCTGCTGAGACATAGTCTTTCTTCTGTGATATCCAATTACATTGCCAGAAAAATGAGCATCACATTTTTTAGGTCCAAGACTACTGCAGGAACTGACATCTTCCTATGTATCCAAATGCCTTCTCATTTTTATCCTACTCATTTCTTTCTTTAATCTCCAACCTTTTTCTTTTCTGTTTTCCCAGCATTTCTTTTGTACACATTCTGTACTAGTTCTCCCCTAGCCAAAAAAATTCTAAGAAAGATGTAATTTTCAAAACCAGAAAGTGGCAGTCAGCAATAAGAAGGAATTAAAAAGGAAATTGTGGTTTTTGCCATGATGTACAAAACAGGCATTTGGTTTGATTTTTGAAAGGTTTTTTTGAGTATTACCTTCATTTTTGCAACATCTCACTATGAAAGTTCAGGTTTTATGTATTTTGCCAGATAGTATTGGATAGATAACTGGAAAGGGAATGGGACAGAGTTATGGAAAACAGGAAGGAAATGGATTTGCTGACTTAAATGAGAGGTATGCTGATTTTTTTAACTCCCAAATAGTCATATCTTTTTCAAAATATTAGGATAACTAAAAGATACTAAAAAGATACTAAAACAAAAATTTGGATAAAGCCTGGTGCGAATACCAGTCGGGGTAGAGTTCATTTTCTTCTTAACAGCTGATACAGTGCTGTGTTTTGGATTCATTATGAGAATAATGCTGATAGCATAACGATGATTTGGTTGTTGCTCAGTAGCTCTTACTCTAAATCGAAGACTTTTCATTGTCTCATGCACTGACATCAGGTGCACATTAGGTACATGAGAAACTGGGAGGGAGCATGGCTGGGACACCTGACCTGTGCTGGCTAAAGGAATGTTCCACACCACAGAACACCATGCCCAGGATATAAATGAGGGAGTTGACTGGGAGGGGCTGAGTGCTGCCAAGGAACGAGATGGGCGTCAGTCAGGGAGTGGTGAGAAGCTGTGTTGTGCAACATTAGTTCCTCTTGGGTTTTATCGCTCTCTCTCTCTCTTTCATTATTATCATTAGTAGCAGTAGTAGATTAGTAGATGATGATTATATTTTGTTTCAATTATTGAACTGTTCCTTCTTAACCCATATTTACCTTTTCTTTCCAATTCTCCTCACCAGTGTGGCAAGGGGAAGTATTCTCCTCACCAGTGTGGCAAGGGGAAGTAAGTAAGCGTGGAGCTTAGCTGCTGGCTAGAGTTAAATCACAAGTTTTCACTTTAAAGGATTAAAAAAGACCTCCCTTCCACAGGAGAGAGAGCAGAACTTCAAAAATAAAGCTTTCAGACTTCTAATAGCAGTTGTTATGAGGATTGTACCTTTTTTCTAATATTTTCTTAGAAGACATGAAGTAAAATATTTTAAAAGTAATGTTTAGAAAACAAACCTCAAATCTGCCCCGCTCTTTTTTGTAAATCTTAAAACTGCAAGTCAAGTTTTATAGAGATGAATCATGCGTCATCTTTATGTGAACATATTTACTTGAGTTACTTGTAACAGTTATTCTTATTTTCTGCTTCCTAGATTTACTGTAAGCACATCTGTCCTTATTTAGGGGTAAATCTTATGAGTAGTGAATATGTTGCTTTTATTTAAATGAAAGGACACTGAACACATCTTGGTTTTGTGTAAATATTAAATATAATGCTTTCTACAGATAATCTTTTCCCCTGATGTGTTGTGTAAAGCTGGGCTGGCTTCATGTCCCTTTGCTTCTGCTTCCTCTTATCCCTTCGTCTGACTTGCAAGTTCTTGAGGGCAAGTTGTGTTTCATATTGTGTGAGTTTGCCTGTGACGTATGTCAGTGTATGTATATTGCCTGAGCTGATGATGTTCTGTTACAGATTCAATGTTCTCTGCATTAATGTCCTGCAAATAAAGGTAATATGTGTCAAAATAACAGCATGCTAGAAAGTGAGCTGCCATGCTTACCCGCAGACTTTTATAGCCACTCCGTCTTTTGTAATACCAGCAGCCAAAGGCAAGCAAAGTTGCCAGCACCAAAATGAAAAGTCCAATGCCCAGAGCTCTGTTGGGAGAGCAAAACAAAATAATAACACCACAACTAGATGTATTCTCCTGGGAGCATGAAAGATTAGAGCACAAGTTTGTGTCAGTGCCCTTTCATCAGAGGAAGGCATGGTGCAGAATTTACCTCAGAAAATGGAAAAAGTATCAGTAACTTCAGCAAGTCGCTGTAGATTTAGCAGTTAGCTAAATTCTCTGCCAAGTTCTTAATAATTTTAAAAGTAAGAAATACATTTCTTTGAAGATAATACTCTACTGCTGATTCTGAAAAGATACCTGCCTGAGAGAATGTGAAATAAATTAAATGCCACACCTGCAGAGATGCAGGTCATGTTTATTTGCTAAATTTATGTAGCCAGCAAGTATGGGGAAATATATCCTTATTGCATCATATTGCAACAACTGTTGGTGATGGAAGGATTTTTTGGATACATAAAACACTATAAAACCTTATTCGTTAAGAGCTCTGCAAGAATTTAGTTCTTGTTTCGTGACATGCTAGGCACAGTATTGGCATCACTCATTTTAGGGAAAATACACTTAGCAAACTGTGCTGTGACATCCTTCCTACTGCTCAGTGGGGACTTCGGAGAAGCAGCATGATTCCGCTGTCTGTCAGAAAGCAAGCTGACAAAGTAATTGCAAGTTTCCTAGTCACAAACCCCCTTCCTTCTGTGTTAATAATCTCCCTGCTAAGACATATGGAATTCATTCCCCATTGTTTTTTTTCTTTCCCTGTTCAGGAACAGAAGAGTATGCAAAATGGTTAAAGGGAATAATATTACTGTGTGAATCAGGATAAACCCATGCTAACATACTATTATATATCTACTAACCAGTTGCCCTGCAGTAATTACCACCATGCTTTTGCATTAGTAGGGACTGAGTATGGGGTATGTGATTTACCAGAGACTTTTTATATCTATTTGCTATCATTTTCACTGACTCCAAGTCTGATGAAGGAGTGTTTCCTTGTGACCTAAGAAGCCTGAAAGAAGATGAAAACAGATTTGTGCGACAGAACAGGCTGCCTTTTTGTCTGAATTGCCTGTGTGCTGTCTGAAACATGAGCCCATTGGAGACAAAGGGATTTTCTTTTTCACAAGTACCTGGATCTTACAAGTTGCTCCTGCCCCTTGAAGACTTTGTGTGGGCTGGAGACCTGTTAAACCCAGGAACACAGCTAACAGCATTCACTTGCTTTCTGGTGCAGCCGTGTTGCAGCTGATCTTCAAAGTTATGAGATGGCTCCACTGGTTTTGTTACTGTCCCCAGCACAATTAAAACTTGGAGAGACCCTCCAAGCAGCTGCTGCTCTCTTTACATTTTGAGACTGCTTTCTGCTTTTCACATGTTATGTAGTTTTAGCCATCCATTAGCCTGTATGCCTCTAGTATGTAATTTCTGGAGCTGGTGCTTTTGTCTACATATTTGCCGTCCAACTCCTTCCCTACCTACTCAGAGGCTAGTATGGAAAGTGTGTGTGCAATTTCTTGCAATTCCAGTTAAATTTGCAGCTGTGCTTTTAGGAATCTGGGCTTATATCTAAAACACTACTTCTAGTACCAAAAGGAGAGAGTCACTTTTGCCTCACGTATCTAGAAAAACTGCTTACAATTGCAGCCACTGGAATTCACAGCAGTTAGAGATGAGCGTGCTTAGTTTCAAGTGCCGAGACATGACTAACCAGCTTTTTTTTTGAAGAACTAAGCAGCTTTGGATGGACGATGAGAGAGCCTTCCCCTTGGTTCATTCTCTCTGCCAGGGCATGGAGGAACAAAAATCTTGCAGTATGTGCGTGTGGGGCAAGTCACTAAGTTTGGGGGCCCATAAACTAGTACCAGAAGCAAATTCTGCTTACAGATATCCCAAGCACACTGGAGATATTTGTCTAATGTATTAAAACATCACCAGTTGGATGGTGTTTCTAATCCAAGACCAAAATATATTATTGTAATCTGAAGCTAACAGTATTAGCTTGACTTAGTTCTGCTGAAGGGGACTCTTACCCAGAAACAGTTTACTGAGGGTCACATTCATACGGCATTGATGTCTTCATCTACCTTTTTTTTTACCATTTCTCTGGGGGTTTGCTATGTTCTTTAGGGTGAGACAATGTCCCTTTCAGGTTTCTAAGAGAAGTTTGTGGATCTAGAGATAAACTGAGTGTACAGATCACCTTGCAATAGCCTCAAAAGAAAATTCTAAATAAACCTCAATAAACCTGGTAATTATAAAGACCAGTGACTTGTGATCATATGATCGAAGTTCTTGAATTCTGCAATTCCGATTTTTCTTAATCATTGAGGGCTCTTAATGATTGTGCAGTGACAAACATTAGAGACAACTACACAATAGTTAAAATGCACTCCGTCTATATACAATGGTGAGTTTTTTTGATACTATTTCCTGGTTTTCTTTCAATGCAATTTTTTCACCAGCTTACAGGCCAAGGTAGGTTTTGATTTATGCTTACTCTTCTGCTGCAAAATAGGCGTGTCCTCTCCCTCTGAAATAGTTGCCATATGGATGGTCATTTCTTCTGCCCATTTTGTGAGCTTGGTCCTGCTCAGACCTACAGGGTAGAAACACAGTGCCTCAGCGTGATAAATAATTTGTAATCTTTAAAGTGTAATATTATCAACTTCTGTGTTTTAATGCAAGCATTTTAGGGAGGCAGGATAATCTGATATTTTCAGAATCAAGTAGATCCACACCTATATGCAGCTGTCCCAATTTAAGAGAAAACTCAAGTATAGACTGTAGTCTACATTTTAGTATCTCCAGTGACATAAAGGTATTTGCACCTGACTGCAGCAGAGAAGAATTTTATGTCATCTTTTTAGGTACAAAGTGATGGCAGAATTCTGAAGTACAATCTTGAATACAGAAAGTAAGGCAATTTACCTGGGCAAGTAAAACTATTGAGAAGAAAAACTAATATTGTCCTTACAAGTAGCTGTTTATTTCTGTTATTCCCTGTAAATAGTCAGGGCACAGGTTTTCATTCACTATAAAGTCTCAGAGATCTGTTGATTTTCAGATGGGAATAGTAATTTACGTCTCCCACAATCTAAACTCAGACGCGCAGAGAATTTGTTATAACCTTAACTCCCATTCTTAAGGTGATAATCATCAAGCTTCAAGCTGTCTGAACAGTTAAAAATCTAATTGATCAAATACAGTGAAGAAGAAATCCACAAGTAATCATGTTTCTGTCATTTAAAGCGCACAACAATAGATCCTACTTGATAGTATCCAGGCAATCTACGTACCTTACACAGTTAAAGTATAAAACATGATGACTTTGCTAAGACAGTTCTAGCCAGGGAAGGAAAACATCTGCAAGTTCACTTAAACACAGTCAAACCTCTTCCAGAGCATACTTTTGAAGCAAAGCAGAAAATTTTGTGTAGAATAAAAATATACAAATATTTGCGTAGAATAAAAAAGCATACATCTTACCTCCTTCAGACCTGTATTCTGTTAACTGAAAGGCATATGCAGCTTTCTTTTCCTTGACTTGGTCTGGTTTTTTCTCCTTTGATCTGTTTTCTTATGACTATCACGAGTTTAAATTCCTTTCAGTACAGCTTCTGAATGCGTTAATTAGCATGAAAGGGGCAAGGATACAACTTTTCATTTTCTTCTATGTCCTTCTCTCTTAATAAGCAGCAGTAGAATCTGTTATTTCTTGATTTGTTACATACCCTCTGAGACACGGGTCAGCACCTTTTTACCTGCCCTTTTTACAAGCTCCTAGAGTGGACTATTTCTAAATTTAAACGTGTTTTGATTTAGGGCTGATTATTCTGTGACAGAGGACTGGTATTTTTGCATGTCTTTACTATAGCTTTGTGTATGCACTCTTTTTGCATCATTTTAACACTGTGCAAACTAGTATATTTGGACAAAAACTTATAGGTGGATGATGTTATACTGTAACAGAAGTGTCTTACATTTGGGCAAATACAGTTTAATTCTATAGTAATAAGCAAATACTGCAACAAAAAGAGAGTCTATCCCATGGGCTGCAGAACTAATGAAGCCTAGGTTAGGACTTGTAATTCATACAAGTCCATGCAAGTCCTTTGTGTGTTAGCACAGGCAATTCATACAAGTCCATACAAGTCCTTTGTTATGGACTTGTATGAATTGTCTGTGCTAACACTGTGGTAATTCCATTTACAAGACCAGGCAAGAAATGGCAGTCTGTGATTAATTCAGAAGTCTGGGTACTGTGATGGACAAGCAGTCTTAAATATTGTTGAAAGAGAGAGAAGATACAAGAACCATGTTCTGCTTGTCATTCGTCTTAATGATTCATTAATCTGAGCCTCTCTGTCCTTCCACAGATTTTTTAAGTTTGAAGGACTGAAAACTTTTAATAAGTTTTCACTTGTCTTTGAAGTTGTGTACGGGGCTCTAAATGTGGTGAAAACAGCTGACAGACTGAAAAGCAAATAGGAGGGAACAGACAGTGTGAGAAACCAACATCCATTTCATTAGGAAATCAGATGAAAAGTCTTAACATTGGTATTCTTAGCTAGTGCAGGTGTGGAAGGTCAGACCATTTTTCTGCTTATGTGTTTTGCTTAATCATGGTAAAAATGTGATCTCTCTTTAGATATTTTTCCATCGTGGTGCTCAGTGACAGGACCAGAGGCAGTGAGCACAGACTGAAACACAGGAGCTGCTCTGAACATCAGGAAACTTTTTTTTCTATGGGAGTGACTGAGCACTGGCACAGATTGCCTGGAGAGCTTGTTGGGTCTCCCACACTGGCGATATGCAAAAGCTGTCTGGACACAGTCATGAGCAACCAGCTCCAGGTGGCCCTGCTGGAGCAGAGGGTTAGACCACATGAACTCCAAAGGTGCCTTCCAACCTCAACCATGCTGTGATTAACACAAGAAAGATCTAGCTAGTTTTGCTGGACCAAACAACATGGGTTTTGTGGAGGGGAAAATGAAGGGAACAAGAAAAATGAACAGTGAGGAACATAAACTCTCTAATTTGTACAAATCATTCAATGCTTTATATTATACCAGATGAACTCAATGGGAGTTTCAAAGGGAGAAGAGGTGCAGGGAAGTTTCTATAGATACCCATGTGTGTAAAACTGTAAGTGGACGCTATCACAGTCTGTCAAGTTCCCAAGCAACATATCAGCCCTTGTGCACCCTGAAAATGTCATAGAGCTCCTCATCAAATCATGTGTTTTCCTGAAGAAAAGCTTCATTACTGGGAGAGGATGATAACTGAAGGGCATTGTTTGGTCTTGTGAGAATCAAGACATAGAGTAAATGCATGTGATTACCAATCCTAGTCTCTACCCCATCCCCACTTCAAGCAATGTGTAGGGCAAAATGTCAACTGCTTGAATATTTTGTGTTCTGAATGAATCTCTTGTTAATAGTATAACAAAGGGAAAAAAATAACGACTTTGTCATGATTTGTGGCACCATCTGGAATGTAAATGCAGAATGCTGCTATTGAGGAATTGGATGGATGAGAAGGTGAAACACCACATCCTGGTTCTGATCTCAGTTTTTTTACAAAATCTTAGTTCTCTGAAATAGTGCTGCTAAATCCATCACTGTAAAGTCACTGGAATTGGCAAATGGATTTCACAGGTGTTAACCTTTTCAAAGATAGCATTTCAGGAGAAGAGGATGGAAGAGGATGGAGAAACCTCCAAGTAACCCAAGTTAGTTTGGGTTTTTTGTGATAAGCCAGAACTTGTGGCAAACCTAGGACACTGATGAATCTTGATCATAGGAATGAAATGAATGCTTCTAGTGTAACTGAAAATAACAGGCTTGACCTTTGAAGAAGAATAGCTGTTGGTTTTATGCTGTTGACACTGTGATTCCATCTTTCTAGGAGAAGATCTTGGGATTTTTATTAATTTATTTCCCTTAATTGATAATTTATTTTCTCTGGCATTTGAGGCTTCCTACAGCAGACAAAACAAAGAAATGTGAGTACCTTGGCACCTGATTTAGTAAAGGCTTTAGTTTTGAGTTTTATGGGAATTTCAGTGGAAACTCACAAGTATTTCACTGCTAAATCTACATTAACAGTAACACAGTACAGTAAGTGAAAATAAGGACATTATACTCCTTTCAGTTTGTCCTCAGAATCCTCATCTCTCCATGGTTTGGGGATTTACTTGGAAGTATGTATTATCTGGCTTCAAGGCTGAACAGTTCCACTATAGGCCTGAGACTGGATGTGGCACTTAGTGCCATGGTCTAGTAACCACGATGATGTTGGATCAAGGGTTGGACTTGATGATCTCAGAGGTCTTTTCCAACCCAGCTGATTCTATGATTCTATGATTTGGAGCTTTTTGCAAAGCTATTCCTCAAACAGCTGCTACCTTGACTGCAGGCACCTCCAGGAAGCAACATGTTGTCCTGTAGGCTGCTTTGCACAAACACCTTTAGTATGTTCATCCTGAAAGCCTAGTTCACGACAGAAAGTTCCTCCTCAAGTAGTTTGCAAGTGAAGCTCTGGTCCCTGCTGTCAGGCCCATCTCCCTCTGCTCTATCTCTGAAACTTACAATAAGGAAGGAATGGTAGTCTTAATCCTGTAGTAGCTGTGCCAAGAGGATGGCATGATTGCAGTGGTGCCTGTGTGGCTGCACTGTGTTTTTCCAAAGAAAAAAGGTTGGATAGCTTTCTAGCTTTCTGTTTTTCTTTGCTCCTACTTTGTGGTTGACTGCAGGTTCTGAGCCCAGGGGATTGTTCCGATTTGTGGGACTTTCTGAGATGCAGGGTGACCAACTATGAGTGAAAAACCGGGGGTGAAAAACTTTTGGATGCAGTTGGGCACTATCAAGGTGAGATTGAGTTATTACTTCCCTTTCCTGTGATTTCAGGACACCATCCCTGGATTTAAGAGAATGGCAGTGCTTTCTAAAGCCTCACAGTCCTGTTCCCACCAGTAGGTTGATAACTGGTTTGGGGTAAGAAACTCCTTGCAGATGAGCTGCTGATTTAGGCCTCTGGGGCCATCTCTGAAACATTTTGTTTGAAGAAAATTAATATAGTCAACACAGGCTGTATCCTTAGGACTTGGATCAGAACAGTCCTTTGCAGCACATTGCCCAGGGAGGTGGTGAAGTCAGCATCCCTGAAGGTGTTTCAAAGACATCTGGCACTGGGTGATGGTTCAGTGGTTCAGGGGGTTCAGTGTTACTGCTGGGTGGATGGTTGGATTGGATGATCTTAAAGGTCTCTTCCAACCTTGATGATTCTGTGATTCTGAGTAATCTCTGCAGTAATAGTCCAGTGAAACTTAACTTGGAATATTGCCACTACAGCTGAAGTAAAAGCAGTCCTAAAATGAATACAAACACTCAATACTTCAACTCTGGGCATGAGGAGAGTAGACTTCAGGAAGCTAGTAAGTAAAGTGCCCATGGAAAATTATTTTATATGTTCTGGGGTCCATCGTGCTAGTCACACTTTAAAGATCACCTCCTGAGGGCACAGGAGCAGGCAATTCCAAAGTGTTGCAAGTCAAGCAGATGAGGCAGAAGGCCAGCTTGGCTGAGCAGGGATCTGCTTTTGGAAATAAGGAGCAAAAGGAAGGTGTATGCCCAGCGGAAGCAAGGTCAAGTGACAAGAGAAGAATACAGAGATGCAGTTTGCCACAGTAGGGAGAAAAAGCTCAATTGGAGTTGAAACTGTCAAAAATGTAGAGGATAGGAAAAGAGGGGTTTTTTTCAAATATATTAATAGCAAAAGACAGTGTAGAAATTACATTGGTCCATTACAGGGTGAGGATGGTCACCTCACAAACAGGGACAGAGACAAGGCAGAGATGTTTAATACTTTCTTTGCCTCTGTCCAGTATGGATGGCAGACCAAGGGGATCTCAGTGCCCTGAGCTTCAAGACCATGACTGCGAGTTGACCCTGGACTTGTGTGGGATCTGATGCTTGAGCTGGATCCCTGTAAATCTATGAGGCCTGATGGGATTCATCCAAGAATCCCTGAGGAGCTAACTGATGTCACTGCAAAACCTCTCTCAGTGATTTTCAGGTGGTCTTGGGAATCTGGAGAGGTCCCAGCTGACTGGTCTCAATTTTCAAGAATGGCAAGAAGGAGGACCCTGGAACTACAGACTTGTCAGTTTCACTTCAGTATGGAGATTATTCTGGGCGGTATTGAAAAACACCTGGAGGACAATGCAGTCATTGGTCACAGCCAGCACAGCTTCGTGAGGGAAAGTCCTGCTTGTCAAACCTGATTTCCTTCTATGACAAGGTAGCCTCCTTGATTTAGGAAATCCATTAGATGTAATATTTTCAGACTTCAGCAAAGCTTTTGATACTTTTCAGTAACAAAATTCTCACTACTGGAGAGTAGTAGGATACTACTCTCACAGTACCCTTCTGGACAAAATGTCCAGCACACAGCTGGATAACTGTGTTACGTGATGGGTGAGCTCACAGGTTGGGCACAGAGAGTTATAGTGAATGGAGTAACAACATCAGACCAGCATTCAGTCATTAATGGGGTTCCACAGGGCTCCATCTTGGGTCCCGTGCTGTTCAACATCTTCATTAATGATGTGGACATAGGACTTGAAGGAATAATAAGTAAGTTTGCCAATGACACTGAACTAGGAGGAGCTGTTAATTCCCTGCCCTGCAGAGACCTTGACAAATTAGAGGACTGGGCAGTCATGAACTATATGAAGTTTAACAAGGGAAAGTGCTGGATTCTGCACCTGGGATGGGGCAACTCTGGATGTGTGTATAGACTGGGGAACGAGAGGCTGGAGAGCAGCTCTGCAGAAAGGGACCTGGGGGTCCTGGTCGATGGCAAGTTGAATCTGAGTCAGCAGTGCCCTGGCAGCCAGGAGGGCCAACCATGTCCTGGGGGGCATCAGGCAAAGCATCGCCAGCCAGTCTGCTCTGCTCTGCACTGGGGCAGCCTCACCTTGAATATTGTGTGCAGTTTTGGGCACCACAATACAAGAAAGATATTGAGCTCTTAGAGAGCCTCCAAAGGAGGACAATGAAGATGGTGAAGGGCCTTGAAGGGAAGCCGTTTGAGGAGTGACTGAGGTCACTTGGTGTGTTCAGCCTGAAGAAGAGGAGACTGAAGGGAGACCTCATTCTGGTCTTCAAGATCCTCACAAGGGGAGGTGAAGGGGCAAGTACCGATCTCTTCACTCTCGTGACCAGTGACAGGACCTGAGGGATTGGCCTGAGTTGCATCAGGGCAGGTTTAGTTTTACATCAAGAAAAAGATTCATCACCCAGAGGGTGTTTGGGCACTGGAACAGGCTTCCCAAGGATGTGGTCACAGTACCAAGCCTGGCAGAGTTCAAGAAGCATTTTGACAATGGTCTCAGGCACATGGTGTGACTCTTGGGGTGTCCTATGCAGGGCCAGGAGTTGGACTCAGTGTTCCTGATGAGTCCCTTCCAACTCAGCATTTTCTGTGATTCTATGATTCTACTACTTCTGTGCCATTAAACACATACATAGCCATCAAATGACAGAGTGTCCAGGTGACTAATTCTATTCTGTGCATTTAGCCAAGAAAATAAGAATATGACTTTTCATTTTTCACAAGATCCTGTTCAGGCTGGTGGGAAGTGGGGAAATCTCCAGCCCCAGCCCTGACAGAGTCAGTTCTGGACTCAGACCAAGATACTTGGGACTTCACCCTGTCAGGCCATAAAAGCCCCAAGGATGGCATTAACCCAACTGCCCTGGACCACATCCCCACCACTGGGCTGCCCTCACAGCTTCAGCCTGAGCTCCTCATGTTTCCACTTGTGCTGCTGTCTCACCCGCACACCAAGCACCACTGTGAACGACCCACCTGCATCTCCTTTGTCTCTCCTGGTGCCTGATTGCTGTTTGGTGCCTCTAGAGCCACCACTCCCCCCTGGCTGAACCAGCCCCAGTTGCACAGCCTCTCAGTGATCCGCTGCTGAACTCAGTTGTGTTTGTCAACTCCTTTACTGTATTCTGAAATACATGCACAACTGTGGAGCAGAGCACAGCATGCCACTAAGTGTCTTCTTTATTGCCTATGTCTGATGTCAGGACATGTCAAAATAAATCAGTGACAGGACTTGTAAATAAAATACAGAATTTTAACAGAAAGGCAGAGGTAGAAACTACGTCTATTAAACATATCCCCATTTGTCCTGCCTCCAATAACCCTTCCTTTCAATTTATAAAATGAAGAGTTATTTTAAATATTGGAACCCTGCAGAAGACTGAAGACTAATACTTCTAGAAAAATCCAAGTTTTTCCATTGACAATTTTGAAAAGTAGTTTTTCAGGACTGTGCTACAACACGCCCAGTTGTGTTTCTTCCAGTGTACATTCTGCAATCAAGCCCTCACAGATTTATTAGTGGCTCAGCTGATTTCGTGTAAGTTAAAGTAAGTTTTTGAAATACTGATTATTCTATGAGACAAGAAGTAATTATTTTAGATGAGTGATTTATGTTAAACTTCCCAGGGGAAGCCATGGTAAAAATTTCATAAAAAGTTCATAAGTAGGGCAGCTATGATAATCATGATAATTTGGGAACTTTAAAGTGCTATGTTTTTTTCCTTTTACTGTTTTTTCTAAATGTGATCCAGCCCTTCCTCCTTTCTTTTAAGTTCTCTCTTCCCACTGATAAAATAAAAGTTATTTGGATCCAGACTCTCTTTCATTCTCAAAGAGTATTTACTCAAAGTATTTGCCTCAGGATAGTTGGAATGTGGGACTAAAGGGAAGTCAACTAGTCCATCATACTACTTAGAAGTGCAGTCAAATATATTTAGATTCTTGCTCATGTCTTACCTATTCTCTGATATCTCTCTGTTTTCGTATTCTCCCTGTAGTCTGCTTCCATGCTTAACAGGCTACAATGTCTTTTTATGTCAGCCTATTATGGATTTGAAGGCTGTTCTTGTGCCCTGTAAATACTTTTGTCTTCTAAACCAGAAAATCTTTATTTCTTACACTTTTTCCTTAGGTTGTGTTTTCTTAATTGTCTCAATTTTTTCCACTTAATTCTTTGCAACTTACGTACTTCTTCCAGTTAAAGCCTTGCAAGCATCATCATCTCTTCTATCTTACCAATAACACAGAACATTTAGTACTTTTAATGCAAGGTTGCATTTGGGATTCTTACTCATTTTGAAGGCCACCATAGCCATAGGTCTTCTTCTGCTATTCATCAATCCTTCTTCATTTTATGTGGATGTATTTTGCTTTTTACTTCTGATATTTAATACTGTATTTCTCTCTACTGTTTTCTATCATGTATGTACCTTTTCCCATTTATCAGGTTTATTTATTTATCTGATTCCAGCCCTGCTCTGTAGCTCTGCAAATCTTTAGCTCAAAACTCTATTCAGGTACTCATGCTTTCACATCCGACTTGTTTACTGAAAATACTGAACACTACTTCCTCAAGCTAAACATCTGTGAGGTGATGCCTCTTCCTGTTTGATAGTGACAGCTGCAGTCTGCATTTGGGAGTAGAGTTTCTATCTGCTGCGTACACACTTCATGGCAATTTAATTTAGACCATAGTTTCCCTAATTAGCATGGCCTGAAGACTTGTATAGTCGAAATGCAACTTCAACATCAAAATAATATGATAATGGTTACTGCTTTAGTTTGCTTGTAAACTACTTACTTTCTTCCTTAGTTTCAAACATTCCTACCCAAAACTTCTGTTGTTTTGTAAATCCTACTAATAGGGAATTTGGCTAAAATAAAACACTTCCATGTGTCCTGAAATGCTGTCCAAGGTCCAGTGTAGTCACACCACTACACTGTGTTCTCAACAGCTTCTGTTGTTGTGTTTCAGGAGATGGAGGGAAGGGTAGGATAATGTTGACTTTTCTGGTTTAGTACTAGTCTGGCTTTCTCTTTCTTTTCTCTGTTGGAGTTGATCTAAAGTAACTAAAAATCCAGCTGATAGGATGAGAGTGGCTCCTGCCATGTAGAAGCCTGCTCTGTAGTCTCCAGCCATGTCCACAATCAGACCTAGAGAGAAACAAGTGACAGAAATGTGATTGATGGAAAACAGGCTAATGTGAATTAGCTCAACAGTGTGAACACATCCTCTCACAAAGTCAGTGTGCTGGCTACATACCTGTCTTGCAGCTTTCTACATCATGAGCACATGTAACATCACTCTGTTATAGCATTTTAAAATTTGAAACACAATTCACATCCCATTGTTTTGTATGTTGCTACTCAAACAATATGATACACAGTTTGAAGCACTTTCCAACCTTAAGTGTGGCAGACAGTGAAGATACTGGCAGAAAAAAAACCCAGACAACGCAGCTGTGTATCTGAGTAGCCCCATGTTCTGTGGTGTAGCTGTCATCAGTTGCTGTAATTTGGACCATAACTGTACAGCACAAGAGAATTTAAAGAAGGAAAGGAGATTCGTCTGCGGGAGACATAGTTGGTTAATTTGTCTGATGTATAACAGGTTTCCATTTCATCATTTTACAAGGAGTCACAGATGTTAACAAAAAGACCTTGGTTTTCAAGAAGCTTTAAATCAACCAAAATACATAATGCCATTTTGTTCTGTACTGAGAAATCACTAGTATAGTAGTAGTAGTAGTACTGCAGCAGTATATCAGCTGCTCTATGGGTGTGATGGCATGCTCCTTTGTGGGTTGATGAAAACTGCTTGCTTGTGGAAGGCTTGTTCACATTTAGCGTAGTCTCTAGCCCACCCTCTAACCTGACATCAGCCCTATGTAGTCAAAGGAACTCTGAGTTTAAATCTTTTAGATTTTACTCTCAGAGTGGGAGAGGAGAGCTTGAGAAGCACTTAGGGTTCCCTGCTCTTCCATACTTTCTTTGTAGATTACTATATGTACACAAATGATATTACTACATACAGTAATCGTAGATTACTATATGTACACAAACTGATCCCCAGATAATCAGTACTACTGACCAGCCACTGTATAAATGTCTTGCTACCTTTGTATTATTTTCAGATCTTTCCAACACACTTTTGATACTGTTCTGTCTCAAACTCTCTATAGATCTTCCTGGTTCCTATATCTTCAAAAATGAATTAAAATGTTCCAGTATTCAGTCTGACCCATTTGCAATCTATTAGTGATGCCATTACCATAGAAGTCACTGTCATGCATGAGCAGTGGTCTTTGAATGACTCTGTGTGCATTTACTAGTCACATTGGTCATTTTTCTGCCATATCACTTTGTAAAGTCCCTACAGCTTGCAGTTCATTTGCTGTGCATTTTTCCAAGATGATTATGCTTTGTTGCCAGTCCATAAATCCATGTGCTGTCTCATTGTCTGCTCTCTCTTCCCACTGTTCTTATGTGCTGCCTCACCCATTTATTATATTGGTTGTCTCAAATGCTGTCTAAAAACAGCAGGCATCTCTGTGAATATTTCCTTGAGGTTTGCATAGCCTAATGTTCAGTTTGAACTTCTATAGGAAGCCTTCCAACAATACCAGCATTTGTGCAACATCGCTAGTCTCAAATTTCAGTTTCTTCTCTGAAAGTATGGGTCTGCTGCTTGTCCTAACGGCACACTTTCATAGCAAGAGAGTGGGAGGCCATCAAGTGGCATTCTGTGGGAAGCAGGAACACCACCAAGTGAACCCTGCCATTCATCCCTGCTTTCATGTTGAATAGGTGTCTCTAAAATCACAGAGAAGAGAGGGAACAGTGTCTTTTTGAGAGGATTTAAACCAACCATTTGTTTTTTATATACTTCTTGGCTTACATATGCCTGAGGTAAGAAAGGGGGAAATTTGGGTGCAGATCCAGATCTTTTCAGTTTGGGTTACCACTCCCCTTTCTTCTTGTAAACTTTGTAAACTGTGTTTGGCAGAGTATCGTCTTAACTTACCTGCAAGAGGGGGCCCCACAAAACCTCCAGAGCTTCGAATGAGCATGAAAAGCCCTAAAGCACTGTCAAATTCTGGCATGCCTACAACATCTGCCAGCACTGTAATGTGAATGGCGACTGTCGTACCAAAGAAGAATCCATAGAAGCCAGTGAATATTGCCAAGGAAACATAATTGTTAGCCAGTGGCAACAGCATCAGGGAAGTACTGATCAGTGTAATTGTCATCACCAGCAAATGAATGGTTTTGGTAACGTGGAGATTGGCATACCAGCCACACAGCAGTCTGCCTGCAAAGTCCACCATAGCCAAAATGGATAGGAGTGATGCAGTCCATGATTCATCTATTCCCAGGCTGTAGCTAAATGGAACTAAAAATAACGGAGGAACAAAAAAACTCATAGCAGCTAATATGCCAAAAATGGCATAAAGTACAAACTCTGGTCGCTTCAGAAGCATCCAATTGAAGGTTTTGTGTGTGATAGGAGACTTATCTTCTTTGTCTATCCTGGATGCACTCTTGCCAGGTGGTGTTCGAGTTTCGGAATGGTGAGCCTCAAGGAGGCAGCTGCTTGCCAGGGGTCGCATCAGTGCTCCACCAATACAAATATTGAGTTGGATGCCACCTATGATCAAGAGGGCACCTTTCCATCCATATTGACTAATCAACCACTGGAAAAATGGTCCAAATGTGAATGCAAAGGCACATTCTCCAGCGCTGGCAATAGCATTGGCCAAAGCCCTTTTCTTGGAGAAATAATGGCTAACAATGCTAATGGCTGGTGTCCATGAAAAGGAAATCCCAAGACCTGAAAAACAATAGAAAAAGCACAGGTTAGACACTCTTGAGTATTTTGTGAAGGAAATTAAAGCAGTCAGTGCTCCTCTATTTGCAAAGTTAAAAAGTGTAGAAGGAAAACATTTTTGTTCCTAGCAGCAGCATGAGCTTAGCTGTACTACCTGTAGGAGTAAATTTGTCACATATTCTGTAAGAGTAAGTCGTATGTATTCAAGCAAAAAAGTAGGATCATGAAGTTCTTACTTACTTAAATAAATAAATAAATAAAAGAAGTTGGTTTGACAGCTTTGGCACTGCGTGAGAAATCACATGGCCATGTGGTTGAAGCTAGACAGATCTGAGTGTCTATCCTGTCTGAATTAAGGCTGGTACTAGATGAGTTAAGCTGAGCTGTGCTGAACTGTGCTCAGGGTAGCAAGTGAGGCAGGACATGAAGAAAGCTGGTGTATTACCTCTATCTGCTCTTCATTTTCTTGCCTGACTTCTTTGAGCGGACCTCAAACCTGCTCTAACTTAGAGTGATTTTAAAGGCCCCTAGATTATTTGGCAGCCCAGGACTGCCAAAGGGCTCAAATTCCAGACATTTTCCCAGGCATCTGGCATGGAATTTGAAATGGTTTATTTTATTCCCTGCCAGCTTTTCTTCCTGTTCCAGGAAAATCTGTTAATTGTTGGAAGCAACTTTCTGGCCTGTTTTCACTGGAGTAAAGGAAAGGATTGAAATCAAGTGAAAGTCTGGGCCTCTGTTCAAAACATAAGATAATGTTATAGAAAGAACAAAATTTGGGATCTTTGTGTCCTTGTACTCCAGTACTCTTTATGAAGGTCCTTTAAACCTTCACAAGGCTCTTGTCTCCAAGTGAAAAACAAAACACTTTTCATTTTCTGCTTGTATATAATTTGCAGGTGCAAATTACTAGCATCTAATTATTTACCTTCTTTGTCATTGCAGGTTTCCTGCACAAATTCTTATTTCCAGAGTGGGAAAGGAGGGAAGACACCTTTTAAGAGCATTGTTGGTTCTAGCTGCTCATGAAATCAAAATATACATCAGATTTCAAAACTCCTACCAATAGCACCCTCAGATAAGGGCTCTGAGTTGCTGCTGGAAGAAAGCCATAAAGCCATAAAGTCATACCCTGTAGGAAGCCAGTCGTTACATACATCCAGACCATGTTGAATCCAAAAAATCCCAGTGCCATTCCTGAAAAAGCCAGGAGTCCTCCAGTGATCACAACTGCCCGATGGGTGTATCGTGCACATAATGAACTGGCAACAGGGGCTGGATCAGCAGCAAAATTGGAGAAAGAAAAATACATTAGGAACATTAAGCTGATTGACATGACCAAATAATCAAATAAATCAAATAAAGTACTCTTATAACTCTTGTCTCAAGCAGACTTAATTCTTCTGGATGGAGCAGGACATCAATTGTAATTTCAAACTTGGATCCTTACTGACAGGGAAATGACTGTCCCTGGCGGTCAGATTTTTAAATATATTCAAAATATGTAATCTTTTTTAAAGGGAAAGAGCATTTCAGTGCCTTCCTTGCAGGACAGTTCTACTGAATTTCATGTAAGGATATACAACTAGCAACGTGACAGAAACTAGTGTAGAATTTTAGCAGGAAGTGAAACCTCAATTTTATTATTGAGACTGTATTATTGATATGGTTGGCACGGAAACCTTCTGGAGGAAAATAACCTTTGTTAGTTTTGCAAAATCATATCTTTATGGAATTACAAAAGTTTATAAAGGACAAAAAATCAGTGTTTATTTTGTGGTTATGCTTTTTACAGGAAATTTGCAGTTCATTTCTTAAATCTTTATTTTAGGGGTACAGTTTCAGCAGAGTGCAGGGACTGTTCAGCACAAGGGCAAAAATGCAGTAGGTACAGATCTGACAGGGCAGCAACTGCTTTATCTCTATTCCCTATCTAGAAGCACCTGAAATGTCAGGGATATTTTTGTTTAATTAAGGATCAGTTATATTGCCTCGCTGTTTTTCCACCAGCATCACAGAGATGAGGTCAAGGCCGTAAGACTTCTTTAAAAGCCTTGGCCACTAGGGGACTCCCAAGTACCACCTGGCATCGGTCGGCTCCCTTCAATACATTAATGTTCTGGGAACTGGAATTCAGTTAACGAGGACCATGGTTGTAAGTTGAAATAAGTAGGAAGACAATGAAGAGAGGGCAGTCAGTAAGGAAGGTTTCATAGTAGTTTGTAGGGGCAGGTTGTTCTAGGTTCACCTGTATTAGGATCAGAATTAAGAGAATTTGGTGGCTAGGATGAGGGAAATAAATCTGGCAGAGTATAATGGCTGCAAAATGTGCAGGATGTACATTGTCTGATAGCAGACAGACCTGGCAGAAGTTATACAAACCCCAGATGTCTCATCAGAATTTACAGCAAAAATATTATGATTTTATAAACATGAAAAAATTATACCAAAATTCAGTCATGGTCTCTATGATGTAGTGGATGAGACATGATAAAGCAGATACAGTTGGAGAATCATACATTATGATGAGAAAAAAAAAAAAGAGAGAAAAGTAGACTCAGGATAACTTCCATGAAAGTGCTTTAAGACGAGAGAGATCTGCAGTTGGAGCAGAAATACTACCAAAATCCAATTTTTAAATAATGAAAAAGGAGGATAGGCAGAAATTGAACATAGGGTAGAAGGAGAAGGAAAGAAGCTAACCACAGAACTAGAAACGGGAAAAATAGCTAGATTCCACAGTCTGGAAGGATAAAGAGTAACACACAGAAAACTTACAAGAAATGAAAAGGGATTATAATCACAGTGCAAAGAGAAAGGTGATGGGATGTGTACATCAATACCAAGAGAAAGCCTGTGAAACCCTTGCTCTGGTAAACTGAACAGCCTGTTGCAAGTGCAAACCCTGGGAGTAGAAGCACATGCTCTCCTTCCATACAAGAACAGAGCTGATGTTGGAAGGATCCAGACAGGACAAAATAATAATTCAGTGATCATCCTTCATACTGAACCAAATGACACTGAAGGTTTCCCAGAAGAACACGATAAGAAAGACTAAGCCAGGCCCGGAAAGATGCTCAAAGAACTGGAGGTTCAGATGATCTTAAGCAGAAAGTCTTCTGGTCCCTGTAAATGAAGCAAAGGCAGGAGAAGATGAGGACAATTACATACTGACCTGAGACAATATAAACTGCTATACAGAGGGGTTTTGGAACATTTGGCCATCAGGCTGTATTCACTGAAAGAGGGTTGTTTTCATCTCAAAGGATGAAAAACAATTTCTGCTGAAAATTATAGCTGTCTTCTTGGAACTAGGCTGGTTTCAGACCTGGCTAGGCAAATACAGTTTTGCTGGTTTATATTTGATATTATTAATATGCTCAATTCCTTGATACATTCCTATGTAATGTAAGTATGTGTTAAAACCGAAACAAAACCTAACTAAAACAGGACTTTGAGTTCTTTTATCCTCTTATGTTTTGTTTTTTTCTCATTAAGTTTGTATGCCTGAATGACAAAATAGTATCACAGTAGGTCTGTGATAAGTCTAATTTGTAAACCAGATTGATAGATTTATTCATTTCTGTGGTCTGTGAAGCAAGTTTTTCAATTTTTTTTTCAATTAATTATTTCTGTCACTGCAAAACAGGCATCAAGGATAGCAGTTTATGGAACTGATAAAATATTTTCAACCCATGACTTGCTTTATCCTTTGACTTTGGATTATTCTTTGATTCTTCTGAATACATTTTTTAAAGAAAGATCAGTTGTTCATGATCTTTGGAAGCACTGCAGTTCCAAGCGGTAATACTGATAGGTGTGGACTGAGTAGGATGCATATAATTATATAGTGTCTATGCAATGAAGTGTCTTCACAAACAAAATTATGATAGCATTTATTACGTAAGGATATTTACCTATTACAACCATATATCTGTATGAGAATATGTAGAGCAGACTTCACAAATTCTGTACATTTCAAGCCTGCACATGTTTAGAATCATCATCATCATGTGAAGGATCATGCAGTTTACCAGGGCGCAAAGGACTCTCTTAACAACCAAGCTGAGTCAAATGCAGTGTGTTTTCTATTTTCCTCCTTCATTTGGTGAGATATGGTATTTGGCCTGCTCCCATAGCTCATTGCCTTTGACGGGGATAGTTCACTCTCTCTTCCCCTACGCTCTGCTTGCATGATCTTGTCTTTCTTGTGCTCTGAGTGAACTGATTTTTTTTTTCTTTTTAACTCTGTGAGTTTTCTGTTAGATAAATGACTTGCAATCATTCTAAAGGGGTTAAAGGAGAGCCAGAACTGGCAATACATGCAAAGAAGGGGGATCTTGGCAAAGACAGAAAGGAGAAGTGTGAGAAGGCAGGACTGAGAATCATCATTTTGGTAGCAGATGGTTTATCTGATAGACAGGGTTACAGTCCTTAAGTTTAAAAGTACTTTGAAAAAGTGACAGTCGCTCTGAGATCAGTGAACTTGCACAAACTGGTTTAAGAGCTTGATTCAACAAGCTCTGTAGTTATTAGAATTATTTCCAGTGAGTTTAACTCAAAGCCTGTAGCAAAATTGAATCATGAGTTCAGGAACGTGAAGTTCTTTATGGCAATCAGATTCCTGTGTATCTAGAGTGTCATTATTAACCAATTCCATATCTGAGGCAGCAAATGCTAATTTTCTGTAAGAAATTTTTCTGTATTTTCTGTAGAGACAGAAGAAGAAAGTCTTGTCCTTACATATTTTTGGTTTGGGTTTTTCTTAAGGAAGCTTTTCAAACTTGTTTTAGTAGTTAATACATTAAAATGAAATGCTAGAGGAGCACTTCTACCTACCTCCTAAATGAAAGATGGCAATAGTTACTGATGTGATCCAGGAAGTGGTGCTTGCAAGTCCATCAAAGTGCTGCTGGATTTCAACAAAGAACAGACCAAAAGTCTTGAGAACAGCAACAGTGAGGCCCATCACCATGAAGGCTGACACTACCACAACCCATCCATAGCCACCATCTGGTGGATTGCTGTCTTCAGCCTGCATCTTTTTTAATTCTCAGATCTTCTCTGGGCTTTGGGTTGGCTTTTGATTTTTTTTTCCTGCAGTGGTAGTGATGGTGATGAGGATTTTTAACAGATCTGCAAATTGGTAGAAGGCTCATTGTTAAAGAAATGAATTAAAGTATTCTAGGAATGGCTTACACAGATTAATTACCAAATTAAAATACAATATGCATTACAGCAGTTTGACTGAAAATATTACCTGAGGAACTGATGCCCCAGGAGACAGAAGACTGGGTGAAGAAAGCAAAACAAAAGAAAACAAAAAGAAAAGAAAAATATTCAGGTATGGAGTGCAGGAAAAAGAAAAAGAAGCATGCATATGTGAACATAAGAGAGAAGACTATGGGAAAAGATGCAGATATGCAAATTTTCAAACACAGGCCAGGATCCTACCCTTTCTAGTAACTTCAAGAACCCTATCCCACCATTTTTCAAACCAATATATCATAGTAAACAGAAAATAAAATGCCTCATAGGTTACCATACTTCCTAACATTCTCTGAGCATAGCAATCAATTTAATGAATTGTAAAGCCATCAAGGCAATTGTTTGTACCCATCAGCCTGTTGTCGTAATTTTGTGTGTATAGATAAATCACTATTATATTTGCTAAGTTGCTTCTATGAGTGGTATTACTAGTGCAACAGAAGATGTTATAGAAAAAAAGAAAATGTTCCCAAGCTGAAAAGGACAGGAAATCAGTGTGTTTCAATATTCTGGGTATCCAATAAATGGAAATAAATGGAAGCTACTTCACTTATCTGGAAGTCTGAACCTAGTGGACTTTCCATTCCTGAGATGGCAGCCTCTCAGAGAAATACTTCACCTCCCATTTGGCAAATACAAAAATGACATTTAAAACCAAAAGAATTCCCATTGAAGGTATTCACTATGGGATTCTATCAATCTCGACACTTTCCATTTTTTAATCATTGCATAAGTTCCAGGAATACTGCAAACCTGTTTTTTATTGTTTGTGCTTTGTCACTAAAAGTCCCATGTGAATTTGCAACTTTAACATGGGAATGTATAAACTTAAAAATTCTTGCTGTTGTAAGCAAATCTCTAATTCAGAACCATTACAATGTTATCTCAGTAATTCCAGTGACAACTGGTCTTCTCCCTGTGTAAAAA